GTCTCGTCTCATCTCCTCACCTTGTCTCCTCTCTCCTTGTCTTTTCTCCTCTCCTCCTCTCTTCTCTACTCGTCTCCTCTCCTCACCTTGTCTCCTCTCACCTTGTCTCCTCTCACCTTGTCTCCTCTCTCCTCTCCTCTCCTCTCCTTGTTTATATTTACCTTCCAGCTCGTGTGTTTTTTTAAGACTCTGTCACGTAAAGGAAATCTTTTTCCTCCCTAAATGTTCTGATGAATGATTTTCCCGCCGTGCAGCCGCCAACGTCCTTCTGTCGGAGCACGGTCAGGTGAAGCTGGCCGACTTCGGGGTCGCCGGTCAGCTGACGGACACGCAGATCAAAAGGGAAACTTTTGTGGGGACGCCGTTCTGGATGGCGCCGGAGGTCATCCAACAGTCCGCCTACGACTCAAAGGTAAGAAACACCTTTTTTATTATATATATATTTATATATTTATAAACTTTTAAACTTCAATTAATTCCCAAAAATTATAAAGATACAGAAAACACAAAGTTTGGATTTGATGTGTTTTTGTTCCTTTTCTGATGTAATGTTTTGCTAAGCCCCTCCCACAAACACAGATGAACCAATCACAGTTGCCGCCCTTAAAGGCAACTCATTTTAAACTCTAAATATAAAAACATGTTTGATATGAATCAGTTTGATTACATCATCTGGGAAGATAACCGGCAATCAGCACTTTTCAAATATGTTGTTTTACTCTGAAATGCGGCCCCAGGTTCCTCTGGATTTCACCTTCAAATCATCACATTTTCTAATTATTTATGATTGAGTATGAGAGGGGACGAGTACAGGAATCGAGCTTCTTAGAATCAGTGAATGAAATCATTTTTCTGTCTCTTTTACCTCAAACACAGAGAGATGAAATGCAGACAAAGGAACTTTCCATCTAAATCCTTGAATGTGTTGAATGTGTTGGTCTGCAGTGTGTGAGTGTTTGTTCCTCTGAAGCTCATCTGGTTTTAAATATCCACTTTTTTTTTATGGCTGCTGGGATTCCTCTGTAGCCTTTTTATTCGTTTGCCTATCGCCGTAGCAACCTCAGCCACTTGGATTTACTTGTTGTGTCTGGCTTTGACGTCGTTTGCATTATTTCCACAGCCTTCTTGGGGCTTTCTTTTTTTAATTTGCATCTAATAGGAAACACACCCGACCCCATCCCGCCGTCTGGAGTTTAACGAGCGACTCGAGAGGGAACAAAAAAAAGACATAAAGAAGAGATCTTAAGGAGGGAAATGTATAAACGTCACTCCCCCCTCCTCCTATTGGCTGGAGCTGAATTCTCCTGAGAATATCCTGCTGTGTTCTCACATCAGCCTCTATAAGATGGAATCGTTTCCATAGCAACGTCAATATATCTGACACTTGACGTCAGTCTAAGTCTTTCTTCATATGGGGGATTCCCTCTTTGTCTTTTTCTTTCTTTATTTCTAATTCGACATCAATCACCCGTTTCTGTATGGACGCCCAAAAACATCAGACAGAAAAGTCGTGCACACCTGGCTGCACCTGGCTGCTGACGACACAAAGGCAGCTTGAAAACAGCGGTTTGTGATGCGCAACAACAGAGTCAACAAATGTCTTTTATTGAAATCACAGAATGAGCCGACGTCTCTCCCCGCCGCGTCCTTCTTTGTTTGATTCAATGCGTTTCTCTGAGGCCATGTTTTTGGAGGCGTGTGTGCGCGCGTGTGTGTGTGTGTGTGTGTGTGTGTGTGTGTGTGTGTGTGTGTGTGTGTGTGTGTGTGTGTGTGTGTGTGTGTGTGTGTGTGTGTGTGTGTGTGTGTGTGTGTGTGTGTGTGTGTGTGTGTGTGTGTGTGTGTGTGTGTGTGTGTGTGTGTGTGTGTGTGTGTGTGTGTGTGTGTGTGTGTGTGTGTGTGTGTGTGTGTGTGTGTGTGTGTGTGTGTAACTTCCTCCGAAATGTGTGTGTGTGGGTTGTCTGATACAGGCCGCCATATGTTCAGTGTGTAACAGTAATGGAGCCGCAGAGTTAACGGTCAAACAGTGACCAAGCATCTTGTTGTAATGTGACCCTGTGTGTGTGTGTGCGTGCGCGCGTGCGTGTGTGTGTGAGAGATAACGTCTGGCTCCTCTCTCACCTGCCACATGTCCATTTGGGGGCGAGTTGAAACAGTGTGACATCCAACCTGTGTGTCACGTCTCAGTGTGTGTTTACAGAGGTTTCTGTGTGTGTGTGTGGTTGACATATGGTTGGTGTGTGTCGTCACAGCCCGCCTGACTGCGTGTTTGTGCGTTTGCCTTCACGTCGTCTCGGCTTCTTAATCTGTGTTCTGAGCACAAAGTCACACATATTCACTAACGTGTGTGTTTACACATCGTCCGTGAACGACCTTCATGACCCGTCAGCTGTTGGAGAATCTTCTCATGCAGACGATGTCATATGATGATTTTTATTTCAACAGAATTTTTAGTAAAAGGAAGTTCATCACAAATTCTTCCTGCCCTTAGTCGGCCGTGTTTGTTTTAAAGTCAGGACTCAAGTTATTCTCTGCAGGAACAAAATGTTTTTATTGTCTTGTGGTCTCGTCTCTGCAGGCTGATATTTGGTCTCTGGGCATCACCGCCATCGAGCTCGCCAAAGGAGAACCTCCCAACTCCGACATGCACCCGATGCGAGTTCTGTTCCACATCCCCAAGTCCCCGGCTCCGACGCTGTCTGGAGAGTTCTCCAAGAGTTTTAAAGAGTTCACCGAGGCCTGCCTCAACAAGCAGCCGTCATTTGTAAGAGACACACACACACACACACACACACACACACACACACACATATTTACCGACTCACTCTGCTTGAAAGAACAAGCTAAAAAACTTAACTTAACTCTTAAAGGAGCAGTATGTAACTCTGCCCCCTAGTGTTTAAAATGGGTACTGCAGTCCAAATTCAAACATCATAGAGAGCTGTCTCCCCCCCCCTCCTCTCTAGAGTGGATGCTCACTCAGGTCACCATGTGGTGGACTCTGAAGCTTCAGTGTTTATCCAGCTCTGCATGGGTCTGTAAACCTTTCTGTGTTCTAACCTCTCTCCATTTTTCAAAAGCATCTCCAATATTGATCCTAGTTTGAGCACGTTTCTGCTCGTGGAGCTTATTAGAAACATGCAGAGGCTTTTTAGGTCGGGTACAATCACTTCTATCTGAACCACTTCTCTTGACCGCTTCCATCACTGCAACACCTGTTGACCTGATAACTGCTCTCATATCTGACAAACTGAGGGGTGTCCAAAACGGTCGGGGGTCGCCTTAAAAGCGCCTACCTTCTCTGGTCCAAACAAATCCAGAGCATTCAGGAGCAGAATCTAAAGTTAGAAGGAGGACATACTGGCTGCTGCATTGTTGTCAGAGAAGCCAGCACTTCAACAAAGCATGTTTCCTTAATGATCAGATAGTAAGATCACTAAATTTGAATCACAGACTCTAATTCTTGTGTATTTCCTTCCTGGGTAACTTGATTTACTCACCAGTGAGGCAACAAAATCAGACATTTGAGAGTCAGATGTTTGATGAATTTTCTTTAAGGAAATGCAATATTGCAGGAATTACTGTTATCCAGATGTTGATGCACTTTTATATGATCATGACATTATAGACATAGTTCATTTATAAAATTCTCAATTTTTTTTTTTTAAGGTTTGATGTGATTCTTTTCAAGCCAGCCTCCCTCATGGAGCATGATTGTAGCTGCATTTGCTGCCCCCTGGTGGACAAACAAATCCTATCTTTCCCCCTCTTTTTTTTCTTCCTCTTCCTCCAGTTATAAACCGTATAAGAAACTATCTGACATTACTACAGTTTCTAACTCTGACAGATAAATAAAACATCCTTTGTCTCCCGCTCCTCTGGACCTCCATCAAATCTAAAAGCATCCATTAAATCATGTCGAGTGAATAACCCCTCATTGTCCTCTGCAGCGTCCCACAGCCAAGGAGCTCCTCAAACACAAGTTCATCGTCAAATACTGCAAGAAGACGTCGTACCTCAGCGAGCTGATCGACCGGTACAGGAGGTGGAAGGAGGAGGGGCACAGTGGCAGCAGCTCCGACGACTCGGACGGGTAAACTGAGCTGCTTCCTTTACATATTTTTTTTCTCTTTGGTTACGGCAGGAAGCTCAACTCGTTCGATCTTTATATGCAGATGATGCAGTGCTGTGCGAATAATAATAAGTGTGTGTGTTTGTGTGTGTGTTTGTGTGTAAAGTGAGTCCAGTAACAAAGAGAACAGCGAGTCACCTGAGTGGTCCTTCACCACGGTCCGTAAGAAGAAGACAGAGGGCATAAAGGTCCTCAATGGAACGGTCAGTATACCCTCTTTGTGTCCATACACATCATTAAGATTCTCTGTATTACACCCGCAGCTTATCAGCGCAAAATGTTTGCTCTAGGCTGGGGGTGGAGTCCATGGGTGGAGATACCAGGGGAGGGGAGGGTATTTTTATTTTTTTACCAGAATCCCACTGTGACATCACAAGGAGCGCACATTTGAAACAGAGCATTTTCCTCTGTGTTGTAAGACTTATGCAGACCACAAACAAAGGACTGGATGGGTTTATTTCACATGTTGTGGGTCAGTAGACACTCAGGTTACCCAGATATATGTTCAGAAACACTGTAGAAGTGGATTTTTCAGAATATGTCCCCTTTTAAACTAACATTGACTGTTGCTCTCCTTCCTCCTCCTCTTCATCTCTACAGGGTCAGGATCAGCTGAATAAATCTGCCAGTCTGACCACAGTCATCTCTCCGGTCTTCACTGAGGTGTGTTCAAACATCAGTCATTTTTAAAGGAGATCTATTAAGCTCACTCTCACCATTACTGATGTCTGTCTGGGACACCTGTTGAGTAGCGCTGTGAGGCGTGCAGCTCTAAAAACCTCCTTATTGATCTGATACCAGCGTCAGAAAAACCCCTCATTTTAGCCTCTGCTTGAAACGCTTAATTTCAGCTACTGTCTCTTTAAGGCCTATCACCTGTTCTAAGATTGTATTCTCTTGACTGATGCTGTCCAAACAGCTCGTTCAGGGTGCATCTGCTCGTGAGCTTCACTGCTCTGTTTATTAAAAACTTAAAAACTTTAACAACAACTTAAAGCATGCACGCTAAGAAAGCGAGTTAATGTGTGTCTGTCTATCAGTCTGCGCTTTTTGTATTTTTCCCGTGTTTTTTTTTCTTTTTTCTTTAGAAGCTCAAACAGAGGGGGCAAAAACTACAACTTACCCCCCCTTGTGGCGCCAGGCCCACATTGCATTTCAGATAACATAAGTGTCTCATGTTTCTTTTCTTTTTTTCTGATGTAGTTAAAGCAGCAGCACAAGGAGCACTCTGAGCAGCGGCTGGCCATCGAGGAGCTAGAGCGAAACATCCGACTGGCTGAAGAAGTGTGTCCGGGCATCACGGACAGGATGGTCACAAACATCATTGCCAGGTACCAGAAGTAGGTTTGTCCTTTTCTAAATGTTCCCCTTTTTTCATGTTTCCTGATATGATGCTGTGATCTCTAGATTTGATGTCGTATGTTTCCTGTTATTTCCTGTTTGAATTGGTTCCTTTCTCCCTGATTGGTACTCTCTGTCTTCCTCCAATTGGATCATTTGTTTACTAAATCTTCTGCTCTCTCCCTCCTTGATTTTTTTTTCTGTCTTTAGATTCTCGACCAACTGAAAGATGGATTGGAAACAGGAAGTACGCTATGTAAAGAGAGACTGTGTCTCCGTACGGTGACGCTGTTGGACGCTTGGAAACGGAGGAGATTTGCTGTGCGATGTCTCCTCACTGTACACACACATCACTCACACTTACACACACACACACACATACACACACTACCAATGTAATATATACACTATAATATATATATATATATATGAGCTCACTGCTGCTGGTGGAAGCCCCTTATTGGCCCATGTTTGATTTGAACGTTTCTGCTCCTTTTTTTTAAGTCTTGAGCTTAAAAAAAACTATTTTGAATAATTAGAAAAACATTTAGATTTTATTTAAACATAACAAACCCCCTTAAATAACCGTCATGTGCCTTAATAATTTATACTGAGTCCTCTTCTCGACACTTTTTGAATCGATGTGTGTTTTTGTTGGCGCATAAAGAGGGTTCTCGTCCATCAGCAGTGGCGTATGTTTCGCGTCAAGACTTGCCTTGACTTTGTAGATGTCGATATGTTTGTTCAGTAGCACTTCAGACGGATGATATGCCAATATTCAACATGTTTGTTTGTTTTCAGTAATGCGTTGAGTTACAGCTCCCTGATCCTGGAATTTACTTAAGGTCAGGTCCGCCCCTCGGAGTTAAACTACGAGGCTACATTTTACAGTTTTAATGAATCACTCATTTAAATTAAACATTTACTTTCAAGTTAGTGCAAGAGCCCATGAAGAAACTTGGAATCCTTCAATCCTCATGTCTACTTACAGATTTTTATGACTTTTTCTTTTCAACATTTAAGGTGAATAAGCTACTCTTTGATTAAACACACTTTAGGATGTTTTCTAAGAGGATAAACATCAGTTGAACTGAATCTTTTGGCACCACTCTGGCCAAGATAGGTAGCTAGGATCTACTTAAAGCTAGCTAGCTAGCCAGCTAACTTTGAAGTTAGTAGCTGAATTTAACGATTAAATATGTTTGACATCCTCAAAGGTACCTAGAATCTATTTAACAGGTAAGCTAGCTAGCCAGCTAACATTTAAGTAACTAGCTAAATGTAACAATTAAATATGTAAAACATCCCAAAGTTGATTTAACTATTGCTAGTTAGGAAAGAGTAACTACAGAAGTGTTAATAATGGCTGCCACTTGGGGGGAACATACCAGTGTAGCTACATTTGTTTGCTAATTAATACGTAGCATCACACAACTGTTAGCATCATTTGTGGCTTAAAAAACTGTGAAAATGGAGGGCGGTATCTGGACGTTGCCTTTGGTCTAGAAGTTAATTAAGTTCATATTCAGATCATAATTTGGTACTCTCTCTTGGGTGCTTGTGGTTAAAAAAAACAAATGGTTAGATTGAGATTTTAGCTTTGGAAATTAATCAAAACATTCGTTTTCCGGACTTTACAAGCGAAACACAACTGTGCTGTTTGTTCAATGTGCATCAAGTTTGGTAAAACATTGAGTACACTCAGCTTGGGTTTGAAGGTCGACTTTTAACAACATACTTGCTGTAAATGTTGTTTTTTAACACCTTACATTGGAAAGTAGCACAGATGGTTTTTTCTATAGCATGAAGGGAGCTGTAATCTAAATGTATTACTGATAGTTTGTACCAAAGACACTATAAAAAATTGGTCATTGTATATTTTTGTCTTTTTATATATCATAAGGGATACGACAACGCTTGTTAAGGGGGGATATGTAAAGTGGAAGATGTAAGATTTTACAGAAATGTACTCTTTTTGTAGCGGGACTTAGAGTTTTATGAATAAATATTTAAGTTTGATTGAGAAATAGCTCCTGGTTCAACTTTTGTCTTTCTTTAAATTAAAAATTGGGGATCTTGTACAAGAAGTGGTTTAAAAATGGTGATCAAAGCAAATGAAAAAGGTTTAATGTCTTTTTTGTGTGTTTAGATTCTTGTTTTTACAGTTTGTGTTAAATTATGTGAGAGCCTAATGACATTCTCCAATCATAGTGGATTGAATTCCTAAATAGATGCACAATATATACAAAATAGTGCTGTCAAACAAATACATTTTTAATCACGATGATTCGCTTAATTTTAATAGTTAATCGCATTTAACAGAATGTTTGAAATAGTTAGGCTTTTATTTTGAAATTTTGTGTTGTCTAAAGCTGAGAGTACTTTACTTTCTGTTTGAATTCAACCCTGCTTTTATTTTGAAATAAAGTAAGGCCCATCCTGTAGAGTGAAGGTGAGGACATGAAGTTAAGCACAGGAAGTGGTTAGGGATCCCAAACTGACCACAAACAGCTCAAAGGAACGGTAACAAAGGTCAATGTGTGATGTCATAAGGTCAAAGTGTGATGTCATAAGGTGGATATTACTTTGGACTCGTCTGCTGAGCTTTCTGAGTGTTTGTTAAAGTGAAATGAGACATTCAAAGATGCAGCAGTGTCCTTCTTTTACATCACTGCGACTACAGGGAGACACTGAGGACGACTATCTACGTTGAGCCGTAAGGGAAAAAATAGCATAGGACCTTAATTAATCACAATAATACAACATGCAGATTAAAATAAATAGAAAACATACCAGATCAATTCACTTTGTAAAACAGTGTATACGGTTTCACAGAATTTTCTTTTTCTTGTAAACCTTTATTGGCAAATTCAGTTGAATTATTAACAAACAAAAAAAACACAATTGTCATGGACCTTTTGAGACAGAGATACTCAACTATGTCACCAAGAAAGTTTATCAAGCCTTTTATCTGCTAGCTACCATTAGCTACCTGCTGCAAAGTAAACAAAGTACTTTAGAAAACATGTCTCCTTAACAACCACAAATCAAAAGCCCAAATCGGTGTGCTGTGTCTTTTTCTTGTCTCCAATGGAACATTCAATTCGGGAAGATGGCTAGAGCTAGCTTGCATCCTGCAGGCGTAACAGGTGCACATGCAGAGGTATATATCGCAGTCTGGATCACTTTAGACAGCTCATTTAGCAGACTTAAGTTTTCACTGTAAGTTACTTTCATGCATTTTCTAGTAGATAGAATTGTACCCTGTTGTACACATTATGCCGAAACTCAACTTTTGAATTTATCAAAATAATGAAGATTGTAGTGAAACCCTTGTTGGGACAAACTTTCAATCAAGACCAAAGTGTTGTTTTTCTCTGCTCACTCATAGAGGGCCGTTCGGTGGCTTCCATTTCTGCCGACTAAGGCTTCCCATAGGCGCCTTTTCCGAGAGTAAGAATGTGAAGACATTTTAGCACTTGATTCCATAGGAAAAAAATGTTGTTTAACCATGTTAAAAATGTAAGGAGTAAAATATTTCCTTAGTTTGGCAACAGCCAGGTCATTTCTACAGCTGAAGCTAGTACAGCTCATTTGACCTTCAGTGGTTTGAAGATACAAATCCTAAAAAATAAGAAGCTTGTATCCAAGAAGCTGAGGTTTTTGATTAAACAAGGCATAACATGTCATCCGCCAGAACACACCAAAAGATTTCACTTCTCAAACACACAAACCAAACACATTTTTGACAACTGTCCTCATTTCATATACAGTCTGTGATCATATTTTGAACCTTTGCAGTCTTCGCTTGTCCACAAGTTCTTCATTTATCTACAGTGTGACTTCAGTAACCTTTGCAGGACTTTTGGTCTTGTCTCCTTCTTTTTCTTTCTTCTCTTCTTCCCCCTTTTTTGCCTTCTCCTTTGCTGCTCCATCCTCCTGCTCTTCCTCCTCGTCCTCCTCGTCCAGTTGGAGGCTCCCAGAGGAAAACCTCATCCTGGCTAGTCCAGCAGACCGTACCATTTTCCCCAGTGGGGGTGGTGGGCAGTAATATGGATAGAAAACCTCAGGTTCTGAGTCACTGTAGCTTCCTGTGGTGCCTCCGAGATTGTAAAGCGAGGCAGGACGTTCTGGGAGAGGGGAGGAGTTTAATGGGAGGTAGGTGGGTCTGGATGGGCGTGTCAGGTGGGGGTAGTAGCCAAGGGGACGGAACTCAGAGGCGGGGTTAAAGGCAGGGTTGGCACTCCTTGAGAGGTGAAATTTGACATCTGGCTGGCTCGCCACTCGGCGAGGCAGCCCTGGGAGGAAGTTGCAGTCATCGCTGTAATGCCCCGCCTCAGTATGTCCAACACCCATAAACCTGGCTCCATTGCTTCCCGGATGATAAACCCTCCCCAATCCCAGGCCCCCTGCACCAGATGGGCGGAGATTCCTCCTCATTGGCGAGAGGGATGGAGAGTCATGGCCTAGCGGATAGAAAGTCGGTCTTGATAACCCGTCCATTGTCCCATAATCCTGCCTCCTCGGCTGCGGGAAACGCTCCAGCGAGGAGACGGCCACGTAGTCCGACAAGTATGGGTGTCTGTTGAGTGGCAATGAACCAGCAAAAGGGAACGATGGGAGGACAGGGTGATAATGGTAGGCAGGAGTGTTTGGGTAGAGCAGAACCAATTGTTGAGCGGCATCCGGATGGGGCTGGGGGTTTGGCCGACGTCGTGACCGGTTGCCATAGACACCGGCTAGCCTTTGGGCTTGGCGTTGCGCCGCTACACGTCCGCCCCTCATCTCGTCCATCACAGATGTGGAGGCGCATCTCATTTTGGGCGAAGGAGCAAATTGATGAGGAGACGGAGAGAGGGGAGTCACTCGGATGAAAGGCCGCGTCCTATGTGGGAACTCAAAGGGTGATTGGCGACGTCTAGCCCCTTCTCCATCCATTTCAAAGTCGTCAATGCCTTGGTGATATGGTTCCATCTCATCCTCACTGCGGACCCCCATGGCGTGACCAGATAGAGGGAAGTCCTGGGATTCCTCGTACACCTAAAGAGGTAAGAGACACAAACATTAGGCCCAGCCTTGTTATCCCTTTTTTGTTGACCAATCTGAAAAAAATAATGTTCATTGATTGGTCAATAAAGATCAAATGCCCAAGATGCCATCATCAAATGTCCAAAGGTATGCAATGCACTGTTTCGAAAATGACTAAAACTAATAATCACCTATCCAAATAGTGTGTAATCATGGCTTCTACTTTTTGTTTACATGAATGGTGAGTGCTTAAATGGTTTGTCAAAAGTCATTTTTTTTTACCTGTTTTGAGACGTCTGTTAGGAGATCAGGAGAGGAGCGGCAGTGTCTGGGATCGTAGTCTGACTGACAGAAGTTCCTGGATGAGATAAACGGGTAATGGTGTTAGGGCAGAGAAGATCTTTTTTTTCAAAATGTTTCTGTAATATATGATCATCTATTTTTACAATTTTTGTTTTAAGGTTTGCCTTAGATCAATGATATTGGCAAGACAGCAGAAACTATTCTATTTGATCTCCGAGCTAAAAGTCTTAATGTACAGTTATATGCACAACAAAAGAAACACGAGTAACTTACAAAACAAAAGTTTGGATCATGTAAACTAGTAACAAAACATTGGTTTGGTCTTAGATCAAATTAGATCTTTAGTATTATGTCTATATCTATATCTATGTCTATAAGTTTGGCGTCCCTTGACGATAGTTCCAAAGGGAATCAATGCCAAAAAAAAGCCTCAGCCTCCATCATTGTTCTAGCTTGTTTGATTCCTTCTGAGACTGGCTGCTAATACAGTATTTGTTCTCACCTCTCCAAGTGTGCAGTCTTCCTCTCTCTAGACCCCATACACTCCAGCAGCTGTTTTTGGGTCCGACCACTGCCGCACAAAAATACATTTTATCTTAACTTATGAAAACTGGACTTGTAACTACACTTTAATGCGTGAGTGCTTTACCTGTATCTAAAGCTGGATCCCTTACTGGACAGCAGAGTTTTTTGCATCGTCTTGGGCTCCTCTGCCAGTCTGAAGAAGGCATGGTACTCTACACACATCTTCCAGAAATACTTGCACACATCTCGACTGGCCATGGAGAACTCCAGTATGTCCTTACCCGATGGCTTAATGGACACAAAACAACATATGTAGTTTGTGGAAGTCGAACAACCTCAATCAACCCATCAGAGGAGTTTAAAAACGAAAAAAGTAAGGAGTCATCTGCTCCAGGTCCTTACCCCAACTTTTTCATGAAGTTTGATAAGGAAGTGTTTTCGCTTGAAGCTGAGCTTGCGGACGTTGGCCCAGCTGAACGTGTTGATTTTTGTGTTTCCCTAGAAAGTACAGAGAAAATATCCAGTCATATGCTCCTCCAGATATCAGCATTAACAGATTACACATTCTGATGGTTGACACATAACATTTAACATCAACATGTTCAATTCTCTTGATAAAAAGTTCAAATAAAAATCTTTAGGAGTCATCCTCTGGATATCTTAAAATTCTGTAACAAAGTTTATTCCAATCCATCCTATATTTGTAGATATATTTCACTTGGGACCAACAAATTGAACCATTGCTTGCTCAAAATGGGCCGTTCCAAGCAAGGTCAACCCCATACTCTTCTTTTCTATTGGCTCAGGCAAAGGCAAGGGATCTATGGTATGCCAGTCAAAGTTCTCAAAGGTGGAATTAACAATGAAGTGAAGATTTGAATGGGAGTGAACGGAAAGTGAATCATTTTGAATTCCCCCATGTGTAACCATGCCCTTGTTTCTTTGACCATCAACCACCTACCTGGAAGACGAGTACTCCAGAGTGTGTGACAGCCAGATTTATCCTCATTCCCTCTCCATCGTGGGCTGGGTGAGGCCTGATGCCGTACATGTCCAACTTCCTTGCTACCTCCAGCAGGTGGATGTCGGAATCTGCTGGAGATGCACCTCTAAAGAAAGAGAAGAATTACTGAATGAAAAATTACAAGCCATGAGACTAACTAGTCATTTTGGC